GATCTGGACGTTTGCCCCACATATTTAGTTGGACAGTCAGCACAAGATATTTTATAAATCAAATTGTTTTTATCCATCATTTTTATGGGATCTTTTAGTTGATTTATTTTATTTTTGATTAGATTTGTCGGTTTAAAGGTTGTTCGAATACCGATATTTTTGAGGTTTCTTTGTATTGCCTCTGATGTACCATTTTTATATGGTATTACGACTGTTTTTCTCCATTCTTCCATCTTATTATTCTCCAGTTTTACCCTATTTTTTCTCTTTTTTATATTATCCTTTATAAATTCTTTAGGGTAGTTGTTTTCGAGTAACATTGTGAATAGAACTTTTATTTCTTTACGCTGGTCCTCTGGTGCTGTTGTAAGTCTACGTATTCTATCTGCAAGACCCTGTATTAATCCTCGTTTTACCGAGAGTGGATGAGCTGAGTAATAGTCAAGGAATCTTCCAGAATGTGTGGCTTTTCTATATATCGTTGTTTTTATGCTACCATCTGTCATTCTTTGTAGCTTGCAATCTAACATGGGTAGTTCTCCAATTTCATTCTCTAGTTCCATAGTAAATTTTATTGAGTCGACGTGTTTGTTTATGTGTGATAAAAGTTTCTCAGCATCGTTTTTTTCACTATTACTAGCGTGTCGTCTACATATCTCCACCAACATTTTAGTGATGATCTGAATGGTTTAAGGGCATTCTCCTCCCAATAATCCATGAAAATGTCAGCTATAATTGGTTTGAAATTATGCCAAAATCCTGTAATGTACCTAGGATATATGGTAAGATAAAATTGCATAAAGAGGGATATCCAATAAGAGCGATTGTAGACTTCAGAAACACACCAACGTATATGCTATCCAGATTTCTCTCGACAATACTAAGACCGACAAGAAACAACTCAAAAGCTAGAATAGTAGATTCATTTGAATTAGTGAGGCGAATAAAAACCACTAAAATAGAGGAGGAAGAAATACTAGTTAGCTTTGATGTAAACAGTCTTTACACGAAAATACCCATTCAAATGGCCATGATTGCACTGAAAGAGAAACTAAATGAAGATAATGGCCTGAAAGACAGAACACAGTTATCCGTAGAAGAAATAATAAAAGGGATAGAATTCTGTCTGACAACAACATATTTCACATTCGAAGGAAAAATATACCAACAAAATGAGGGAGTAGCCATGGGATCGCCTATCTCACCAATTATAGCTGACATTTTCATGGATTATTGGGAGGAGAATGCCCTTAAACCATTCAGATCATCACTAAAATGTTGGTGGAGATATGTAGACGACACGCTAGTAATAGTGAAAAAAAACGATGCTGAGAAACTTTTATCACACATAAACAAACACGTCGACTCAATAAAATTTACTATGGAACTAGAGAATGAAATTGGAGAACTACCCATGTTAGATTGCAAGCTACAAAGAATGACAGATGGTAGCATAAAAACAACGATATATAGAAAAGCCACACATTCTGGAAGATTCCTTGACTATTACTCAGCTCATCCACTCTCGGTAAAACGAGGATTAATACAGGGTCTTGCAGATAGAATACGTAGACTTACAACAGCACCAGAGGACCAGCGTAAAGAAATAAAAGTTCTATTCACAATGTTACTCGAAAACAACTACCCTAAAGAATTTATAAAGGATAATATAAAAAAGAGAAAAAATAGGGTAAAACTGGAGAATAATAAGATGGAAGAATGGAGAAAAACAGTCGTAATACCATATAAAAATGGTACATCAGAGGCAATACAAAGAAACCTCAAAAATATCGGTATTCGAACAACCTTTAAACCGACAAATCTAATCAAAAATAAAATAAATCAACTAAAAGATCCCATAAAAATGATGGATAAAAACAATTTGATTTATAAAATATCTTGTGCTGACTGTCCAACTAAATATGTGGGGCAAACGTCCAGATCACTCAAAATAAGAGTGAATGAACATAAACGCCTAACTAAAGGTCAACCAACAGGGACACAAGCCTACAAAAATCTTGAAAAAAATTCATCCATAGCTGCACATGCATGGGACAAAAACCACAATATCGATTGGGACAATGTATGTATTCTAAAAACAAACATGAACAAATGGAAAGAAAGACTCATAACAGAATCGATATTCATTAAAGTCACACCGGATACATGTAACAAAGGTGACTCAGTACAACTATCAACAACTTGGAATATAATTCTAAATACAAACACATGAATGAATGTAGAGTATAATTCTGAACACACATATGCACACACAAAACATGAATGAACTTGGGATATAATTCTAAATACAAACACATGAATGAATGTGGAGTATAATTCTGAACACACATATGCACACACAAAACATGAATGAACAAAATAATAATAATGAACTATATATGTGAATACAAATCATAAATGTGTGAATAAAACAATTCCAACAGTGGTGTGAACACGGGCAGTAATTTTGCTCGAAATATTACCAATAACAAAACTTATCATTGTGTGTAAACTATTCAAATATAATTATACTTTATTTAATCTCATCCACAATGCTCAAACTTTTTACTGATATTAATTCAACATTTGCTTGTTTATCTCTTCCGCGGGCCCACGAGATTAGGTCTAACGAAGTAATCTTTCATTCGAGCGTTTGGTGTGTGGCGGCGTGGTCCTAACTGCAGTTCGACTATTTGTGTTGGTCTTCTCTTTGTCGTAGCATAGGTGAGTAGTTTAGCGGGCAAAGTTTTACAATGGAGTCCCAAGAGATGCGAACGCACAATGACCTTGAGCCGACCAATCAGAGAATAGGAGGAATTTTGCATAAAATTTAACGTATATTTACAAAAAAATGCATGAAAAAAACATTAAACGGATTATATTTCTCTTATGTGACTTAAAAATACGTTCCAGTTGCGATGAAGAGTATCAGTTGCTAATTTGGACTAGTTTCTGTAGATGTAATCACCAAAGAGACTGAAGGTGTGCTGTTTTGGGAATGGTTCATCTCTCTTCTCTTGCTGTGTAGTCCTCTCCTCAGCCCTCGGTTTAGTTACTATGGTTCCAGTAAGATCATTGGCGACTACATACAAGGGAAATAAGGATTACAAACGAACTTGAAATAAACGAAAAATCTATTCCTAATCGCTACCCTAACCCTAACCCTAATTCTAACCCTAACCCTAAACCCTAACACTAACCCTAACCCTAACCACAATACTCGCCTTAACCCCTATCCTAACCCTAACGAGATGTTAACACATTGTCCAAACAGTAATAAAAGTGTTATCTGGGTGAAACTTGCTCCTTATTTGATGAATAGGGTTGATATTTCAGCTATGATAATGACAGGAACCGTTAGCCAACGACTAGCATGCGTTCAAGGTCATTTGAGCGTTGAAGGTTTTGGGACCCTATTCTTAAACTTCGCCGTTTAGCGTGTATTCATCGTTTTTCGAGGTGACTAAAACGTCTCTCAGAACTAATTGATAATTAGTCTACATATAAGCAAGCATTTATTGGTGAAGGTCTTGAACTCTACATCAGTGTCATATATCCGAGTGTATAAGTGATGACTTCACAATATTAATTTTAAGTGGTCCTTTGTCATGTAGCATCACTGTTCATATATGAACATATATATATATATGTCAGATACCCTATATTTGAGTTACAAATTCACTAAAAGCATCTACTACTAATAATTATTTCTTTTTCTAGATTGCGGTGGCCTCTGTGAATTCCATTACAGTTGTTGGTGTGATATAAACCGCAGAACCTCAATGGATTTCGGTGGGTTACATATACGTTTTCACTTTCATTTAAAGATAGTCATATTCGTGTTTCCTTCTTGTCTGTTTCCGGTTCTCATAAGTTTGTGAAATTGAATGAGGGGATCAAAATGTAACTTTGTTCGCTTGACACAGTCAGTACTAAGGGCTACAGTGTTCTCATTACTGTAACTGATCAACGAAAGATTTCTTCTCATAGTCGTTATGGGAGTCATGCGCCTTCTGAAATCTCTCATTTTATCCTGTCACGTTTCTGTGACTATTGTAAATCCCAGGATTTTTAGATTTAGGTAGGTTGTTCCTGGACATATCCAGTGTGATTGTTCAGAAAACTTCATTCTCTGTCCAAATGCTGGTATTTACACAATCGTATTATTCATTTGCCCGAGTATTTATCATGGGAGCGTCAAAAAGGGAAACTCCCATGATTTTCTTCGAGTGAGAAAATATTACCCTGTGGATTCATGACTATTTGTCGTAAGATTGTGTGGTAGAAACAAGTGTTTCCATCGTGCCTAAATGACTGCTGGGTTTTAGTTAATTTCGTATGAATTAGTTTGTTAACTGGTCTCCGGTGTGAAAATTACTGCATGACACCACAGTACATAAAGACCGTTCAGTGTGTGATGTAATCTCAGCATAATACTAAACTTATCGAGCAGCGTAATCTAAAGAGAAAGGCAATAGGGTGTTAACATCTGCTTCATATTTTGTTCTAGATCTCGCCATTTCTACTCACTACTACATTTGTTCTATTTTCTTCTGATACGACTTGAGTAGGTCTATTCATTCAGTTTTGTAGAAATTGGTTTTTTCAGTCCTGACGTATGTATGTATATACTGTGAGTAAAATTTCGTTCCCACTCGCAATGATTTCGGTAATTCTTATTTAATTTAGTTAGAGAAATTGTTTATTGGCATGAGCCCATGAAGTCGGGTATTGTTGCAGCCGTTGGGCTGACATTACTCTTAAGTCTGTCATCCATGTCCCTGGTCTCTTTTATCGCCTACATCGGAATTGCGATAATGTGCTGCACGACGGCTTGCAAGCTTTATGGTTTTATTACGCGTCAATTCAAATCAAATCAGGATTCACCGAAAAACCCATTTGAGTAAGTTTGATTCTGATGAAATTTTATCTCGTTTATCTCTGGTTGTCCAATTATTTCTGTCGGAAGATTATTACCTATGCAAGTGTGTAAGCGACAATACATCCCAGCCTATTCAACACTACTATTGTACTAAATGAAGTTGTTTCATTACTAGTAACTCACATCTCACGTTTTCTAGCTCAAGCATATAAGGAGAAATCAAATAAGTCCCTTCATAGTTGATCAGATACAATGTTTTCATTCATTGAGTTTAAAAATAAAGGCTTTAATTTCTAGCGAAAAAAGAAGTCCACCAGAGAAGTGTTATACCTCTTAGCATTTGAAGTTGAGATATCTTCGGTAGACAAATGATTGTATAGTATCGTTGGCTTGTGCACTCAACTTTCAGTCAATGGGTCCCGGATAGGAATCTCGTTGTATTTATTAAAGCCTAGACAGCTCGATTGTATTACTTACTGGTTGTCACACAGTATGTGGCTTACAGTTTGGTACATAAGTCCGTTGCAAAGAGTGGAGGGCTAAATGTATCAAAATAGAATTCGTTGATTCGAATTAGTAGATATATACGATCAGTGTGTAACATTCGATTTCACTTAGTACAAAATCTACTTACGATGATTGCTGTTATATTAGAAGTAAGAGGATGTGAATGTATATTTGCGTACCTGTCATTTTGTTCTTCTGCGAAATGTATAATACAGTAGGCGATGTAATATTGCCTACCATTAAGAAAATCCCAGTAATTTATTACATTGCCTCACATTGTAGTTTTTCTATCTGTCTGTGACAGTTTTTTTCTCTGCATTATGTGCTCTTTTAGATTTTGGCTTGAATTGGAGATGACTTTACCTGGAGAAAAAATTGGCGAGCGTGTCGCAGCCTTGTGTGAAAAATTGTCCGAAAAGTTGAATTATTTACGTCGCGTATTGTGGTTGGAAGATTACTTTGAGACTGTAAAGGTAAATGTCACAACAGTACTTCAGTAATTACCAATTATTACCACTTTTCCTTTAGTAATTTAAGGGAGTTGACCAAAATCTGACCTAATTATACATTCATCTGTTAACTCTGTTACAATATCTCCAGTTTCAAAAGAGTTGACAGGATTGCCTTTTTACCATCTGATAAGATGTAATTGCCTAGAGCTTCTTATGAAGCAATTTGTTTGATGCATTGGTGTGTCAGCCAGCTATTAAATGCAGAATATGTTTGTTAAAAAAAAAGTTTCTCACCTACATCAGCTTCAACAATTGAGTAATATGACTAACTCTCACCGGATAAGCGTCACTCACATCTAGATACCGGGTATTTGAGTTTTGAGTAACTGCTTTTAACTGATGACAAAAACTTTTCTACTTACAAAAAGGTTATTTGTCATCTTCCCTATTGTCAAGAAATACCTTATCTACATTGTCTTATTCATTTCAATTATGTTAACTTGCAAATTTTCCTACTTTTCTCTGTTTATCATTACTACTTTCCAGTTGGTTGTGTGTTTATACCTACTTTCCGTAGTAGGTGCTTGGTTTAATTTGCTTACCCTGATAACTATAGGTAAGTCTAGTGTTATTTCGTGTGTGAATTCAACCACCGCTTCATATGTATACTATATATATATATATATATATGTAGGAATGCCATGATGGATGATGATTAGTTTGAATATACGATTGATGAAGTAATTAGTGAGTGCTAATATGGGTAAAGTTTTCCGTTGATTGTTGTTACATGATCTGCCTTAATGGATCAATGTCCAGGCGTCTGACATGGTTTCCATTAACCAAAACGCCATTCTTGTCATGCATTCGAATCCAGGGAATCATGTTCACCATAGGTTTCGAGTAAGGTTTTTCTCCACGTAGTCACCATGTCAATCGGTCTGTTCATAATTTCATGAAATCCGCCCTTTCACTTTCTTGAGAACAAACTTCACCGAGTGCAGTGCAATGTAGTACAGTAACTAACTTAAGCGTTATTCAGAAGGTAAGTTATGAGAGAAACGAAGAGCGTGGAGGAATAGAGACACTTCAATATCCCTCAAAGAAGAAGCCGACAACTTTATCGTCGACATTACAAAATGTTTTGCTCAGTTTAGTTTAAAATACAACATTCACTACTATTCATCAGTAGGTAAACCTCAGTCATTGCGGTTTCTTAACATTTTTGATCTGCTTTACTTCTGGCCATCAGTTAGTTAGTTAGTCAGTTTCACAGAGAACTGCTGACTGACTGCATAAGTATCAATCACTTTATCGCTTGATACCGGACTTTATTTTAGTATGTTTGTTTTACAATTAGTTATAGTGATTCTCGTAATGATATTATGCTGTAGACTATGTGGTAGTTGCCTCAGTATTCTATAGAGTAACTTCGTGGTAATGTTTCTGTAATGATAATTTTGTTTTTCAGCATTTGTTCTCGGGATGACTTGTCCTAAAATATATTTATTATGCAAGGTAAGAAACGTTTGCTTCCCTTTAGGCAATACAACACAAGACAATACTTACGTAATTTGATTTAATTCAATTACTTTTTGTATTTTCAAGTATTGATCTTTGTAGGGATTTCGCTTGATTGGTTGGGGGATTTCATCTTGAGCATGAAATCAGTAAGAGAACCATTGGAAAACCTAGGAGTACTGGACAGTTGTTTCGTCGTAGTTCGGGACCGCTCATCAGCACGAACCCACCGGGTTCCGAACTCAGGATCTCCTGGTTACAAGGCGAGCGATCTCGTAGACCATTAAGCCACTGGGACCCGACCCAGTCATCCTTAAATCCTAACTTCTGCCAATTCATGACATAGCGCGACCGATTCGAAAAGTCTTCTCCGATGAGTTACTGGTAGTAACTGATAGTTTTGTTCCCGATGAATTGGTTTTATTTAATATTTCTACATTTGTGATATAAGAGTAAGACTGAATTCCGAGTGCGGTTGTAGGTAGTGGTCGAGAGCCTGAAATATTATTGCTTGAGTGTTGAGCTTGTCGTGTAATGCATGTATCTGATAATTTCAGGTGGGTATATTGATTTGTCGGTTTGTTTGTTTAAGCTGAAATATACGGGATAGATTTTTCATTTAGCAGGTTGATGATGGTACCCAGTGAGTTATGCAGGACTCTAATCCGTGAGCCAATAACTAGAAATGAAATGCTTAACCCACTGAACCACATCCCCACCATCTGTGTAATGGTGCATTCATACGATATATATGTATACATATATATATATATATATATATATATATATTCATGGTAATTTGAAATGAACTTAATAATTTCTCTTGTTTAGCCCCAGTTTGATGCGGCATTCCAAACAACTAAGGAGAAAATCTTCAGTATGCTTAAATTGTAAGTGTAAAAATCTCACCGAAAGTGTTCTTTGTTCTTTTTGTTTCATCAGTCTGCCCTGAGTTATATACTACTACCTGCTTTGTCAAGCTTAATGAGTCTGATAACTTCATCAGTCTGTCAATCACCTTGTATAATCTAACGGGAAATATGTCTTTTATTTGAAGAATGGTATTTATCAGTCTGATACTGAACGAATCGATTGATTTGGAATTTTCTTGCTTAGTCATTTTACATGATAATATTTCAGTGAAATAAAAGAGGACTAGTCCTACAACAAACATCATTATTATTATTAATACTACTATTGTTAGCAGTTTGTACTTACTTATTTAACATTATAATCATTGGAGGACATTTTCGATAAGTTGACAGCGTAGCAGGAGAAAGTGCTTTATATGTAATTCACTAACTGTTTTCACATAATGTAAGGATAATAGGTGATTAGCACAAGGATACCTGCATACATTAATAAGATTCAGTGTATTGGACCACTGAAATCTAACATATCGAAGCAAGATAACCGACATAGTTTGATGATCTCTACACTTTGTATTATCCGCTTTATATGAATTTAATGTTTTATTATATACTAAATAGCATTGTAATCTTTTATTATTTCAGCGCTGAAGCGAAAGTATCAGGGCTTCGTGGGAAGCCTTCTACAGAATAATTTTGTAAAAGTGACAAGTCATCAAGCCCAACTCATCCAAAGATACATCACATTCTATGTACTATTTCATTCCTTCGATGTCTTCCTGTTCATCATTCGAAACCGTCGAGCACTCATCAGATCAGATAGACAGTGTTGACGTTAGAATGGCCGTTTATCAACGGATGTTTCATGACACTTCCGCTTCTTTGTCTTCGCCCTTTTCTTCTTCTTCTTCTTCACATGTATCCCAGTCTGATGAGAGATATATGTATAATTGTGTGTCAATAAAGCGATTGCAATTGCCATGGAATATTGTCTTGTGTTTATAGTGTTATGAGTTGTGAGAGTTGATTGTTGAAATAGAGAAGAAGTCAGTGGGAGTGATTTTGTAGGTGATTCGGATACTTCGATGTTGGAGCGATGAAAGGAAGATGTGTGAAATGATTCCACTTGGAGACTGTTATTAGCTGGTAGACTGACTTGTACCCTAAGGAAGGTGAACCTCGAAATTCGTGATTTTTGACTGCGTTGTGAGTGTTAGGCTAATGACAGTAGAAGATAGTGATTTCACTCTAAATGCGTTTCACATCGAACCTCGAATAAATGTGTGCATAGTTCTCCTCTTTATTTCTCATATAATGATATTGCACAGGCAACCAGCAAATGATAACTATTCCAATGGTAAAATTTACAACAACACATTTAAGCGAATAATATTGTTGTTTTCAATTAGATCTCATCAGGCTTAACTCTAATATACACCTACATAACTTTACAAACAGAAATTCAAATATAAACTCATCACGGTGTTTTTTCTATAGGATATAGGATAATAAGGCAGCGAATACAAACTGTGCCATTAGTCATAAGAGTGAGTGATAATGGTTCTATCAATAATAATAATAAGGATGAAAAAGTGAGGCGATCTGTGATAGCACGAATAACGAAAAGCATCATGATTAAAGAAACAAATGTTCAGGTAGACATAGTAGTCGATAAAGTCTAAGGAAAGCGACTGAAGGGATTGAGTAGTGAGTGCTAGCTAGATTGTAGGGGAAGTAAATAAAATACGGTTCAATGAAGATGTGGTAAGATTAAGGGTGGATGATAAGAGAGGGTTTGAAAATCTAAGTAAGGGGTGGTAGAGAAGTTATCAGTTGGTTAAGTGTCAACAGGCCAAGGGAGGTATAGTGGCTGTACGAACTTCTTTTGAATGAAGGCATAGTTTAGGTCCAAAGTTTAGTTCGAATGGCTATCGCCTGCCTCAGCCTGTGTGCAGTAGGCGAATACGAGATCTATTGGAAAGATTCGGTGGGATACGATGAATTACTTTGGAAGCTGTCGTTTTCTCCACTACTACACGACCAATATCAAGTAAATGTGACAAAATTGAGCTACAGATTGTTTCTGTGTGTCCTTCGCCAAACCACGATGATGGGAGATGTTCAATAGTGACACATTGGCTAATGTAATCGTAGTATTAGTATTTCGAGATGACCGAATTACAAGAATCCAACAAACACACAGAGAGGGCGGAATTCAGGAATTTGTATTCAAAAAAAAAAAAAAAAAAAAAAAGCGGAATTATTATGCAATTCATATAAGAAACATATTAACAACCAACAGTAAGTATTTAAACAATACAGAGATAGAAATTGTCAATCACCACATCCGCCACATGTCGAATATCTCCTTGCGTATTTATAACGATGTCTCGGTTTTCTTGCAAGTAGCTGCGACCTAACTGATTCCGTGATATTATCTTCATCACTGTTATCTGGACTTATTTCTGAATTATCTACAAAATCAGGATTAGTAGCGGAGTCATTACAATCATAATCGGAACGACAAAAAAAAAAAAAAAAAAAAAAAAAAAAAAAAAAAAAAAAAAAAAAAAAAAAAAAAAAAAAAAAAAAAAAAAAAAAAAAAAAAAAAAAAAAAAAAAAAAAAAAAAAAAAAAAAAAAAAAAAAAAAAAAAAAAAAAAAAAAAAAAAAAAAAAAAAAAAAAAAAAAAAAAAAAAAAAAAAAAAAAAAAAAAAAAAAAAAACTAGAATTTCACGTGTACTTGTATGCTCTGCATTCAACAGACGCAGTCTATGCATATGCAACAATTCCTCCATTTTAATCAGTTGCTCTCTCATCTCATTCAGTTTTTCTCGTGTTTTCGACAGTTCACATTGTAACTCGGCTACCACATTTTTGAAAACAGTTGACGCTTGAGTTGCTGAACTTGTAGTGGAGGTTTTCATTGGAGGAGCTTGAGTATTTTGAAAAGTTGAAAGACATATTGACTCCATTTTACTAGACAGATTGGGAGAATTATGAGAATGCTGAGTAACATAAGTATTCGAACTTCTGCAAACAGTCTTGATGTGTCCAACTTTACCAAATTTATGGCACTTAGCACCCCGAAAACGGCAAGTGCTTCGTAGATGTAACTTTCCACAGGATAAACACGGTTTAATGTTTTTGATCTCTCGCTGCATTCTATTACCTGTGGACGACAATTTGGATTGCTTCCCATGACCACTTGTATTTTCGACTTTGGACAACATGACATCAGATACTGACGTAGTGGGAGCAGAGTATTCATTATTGACATCTTCATATATAATAGATAAATCTTTAGCAGTTTGAAAGGTACAAGAAGGAATCTGAATTAACTCTTTCTCTAACTTAGGAATATTGATTCCAGCAATTACACGATCACGTAGTTGAGTATGCAGCTCATCTCCAAAGTTACACTTTGAAGCTTGTATTTGAAGTTGCAGAATGAAGTCTCTAATCTTCTGGTTGGGAGCACGAACCAGTTTATTGAATTGAGCCCTCTCTCTGGTCTCAAATGTAGTTACATGAAAGTGGTTTATCAGAAGTTCACGAATCTTGACATATGACAGAGAAATCGGTATATCTGGAAACGCTAGATTCTTCACTAGCGTATGTGCATCTAGCCCAATAGCAGTGATGAAATGTGCTGGTATTTTGTGATCGCGAACATTCTTTGAAATGCACCACGCATCCAAGCATTCAAGGTAATCAGCGATCTCCCGCAGAGAACCATTTATAGGAAATTTTCCAAAGTTACTTAGTTCCATCGCGACGCCAATTTGTTGTAATTATTTGTAATCATAGTATTAGTATTTCGACATGACCGAATTACAAGAATCCAACAAACACACAGAGAGGGCGGAATTCAGGAATTTGTGTTTAGCGGAATTATTATGCAATTCATATAAGAAACATATTAACAACCAACAGTAAGTATTTAAACAATACAGAGATAGAAATTGCCAATCACCAGAGCTAAGCGGTCAAGTAGTACTACTATGAATATAACATAACTGTCACCAGAGGTCCAGCTGAATTGATAGATGCACAGATATGTGGAAAAACTATCTAGCTTATATTATACTTGGTGTGCGTCCTAATCATTCGTCAGCTAGAGAATGACAAACATAGGTGGTATGCTGCGTAAAACGTTTCTCGTGTACTCCTGTACTCGGATAGCCCATTCCATCTCCGTCAAGGAATCGTGAATAAACATATCTTTCTTGCTCTGTTCGTAAGACACTGAAGAATATTTCTTTTATATCTATCTAATTGGCAGGTAACTGAGGAAGTGTGTGTATTGCCCGTATGAATGTGCTTTTTCTATACACTCTTCTCCCAAGTGACCCATCTTCTCGCCTGCTTAGCAAGACATCCCGAAAATGTGGTTTATTATCCTGCTCCTCTTCATAAGTAAAAGTAAGCGAAGGGTGGACATTGTTGAATTTCACCAACCAATCGTCTATGTTTACATTCCCATCGGCTAAGATGAATGTATCATTGACATAAGGGTAATACATATCAAACTCTTTGATGATGTCTTTCAATTTCCTGTTTTCAAGTTTTGGGGGAGAGAAGTCAGCTAATATTGGGCGTAATGGTGAACCACCCGTAGGTATTCCATCTACTTGTTGGAAGTATGAATTATTGAAGACAAAGTGTACATTGATTGTGCATCTAAGGAGTAATTCTTTGAGACTACACAAGGAAATTGCTAAGTCCAATTGACTTTCGGTGACTTCTTGACAAATGTAATCCACTCTTTCCATAAGTGGTACACTCGATGAATAGTGCTGTAAGAGTTCTACTACGGCTTAGAGTGGACCTATACTCTAAACACCCTTACAAACTTCTTCACCGTTTTGGCGACCTACTAAGCTTAGCAGTACACTACTGGACGCGCAAATACTGACGAACTGTATCGTTGTAAAAAGACTTGATGTGACAAGAGTACCTGGGAGAATTATATTTTATTCGACGAAATATAAAATTCAATAAATAAAGAAGTCGTACAACTTATCTGCAGACGTTGCTGGAGGTAGGCTCGGAGAGTGTGCAGAAGGAGAGCACAACAAGAGAGCGAACCTATGAACGTAAGGAAGACTCACAAGTCAAAAGGTAAAACGTGGATCACCGTGGGTGAGTCAGTTTAAACAAAAGTTCAAAGGTACAATGTGCACTACAGGTTATCCCCCCCTAGAAGGTTGGTGGGAAACCAGCAAGCTTCGATATACAACAGTAGGATGGCTTGGCACAGTAGCAATGGGTGAATGAGAAGGTTTGAAAATAGCAATAGTAAAAAAAAGAAATTTCACCGAAAGGAAAGAAAGCAAAAGAAAAGAGAAAAAAATTAAGATAAGTTGGAAGTGGTATGTACATGATTAGTGAAGTAAGACGGAATATGATAAGAAATGGCGCTGGTGCCTTGTGTGGTTGTAAGCTTCTGCGGTCTGATGTTTTTTTTTTATTTTTTTTTTTTTTGTCTTTCATATTTTTATTAATCTTTTTTTTATTTATTTTTTTATTGTATCGATTCATTCTTTTTTTTTTAATTCCGCACTATTACAAGCTTACTTATGTGGAGGTTTGATGGTAAACCTCTGGCGCCGAGGCTGTCGTAGCAAGAAGGTGATTCATTATGTCTAACTTTCATATTAGACCAATGCTCCCTTCCTCCGCTTCAACAGAACCTAGCAGTCATGTTAAAGGCAATCATTATACCAGCGTATGATAAGGAGCAGGGTAAAAAAAAAACAGAAGAAAATGGGAAAGAAAGGTTAAGATTTCAAAATCGGTGTAAAGGTACTACAAAAGCTTGTGCGAAATCAATGCGAGGAAAAGTGGTGCAACTTGGAAGTAGTACGTTAGAATGAGATAAAACAAAGGAAGTTTCTACCCTGTGAGAACTTATAAAATTACAGAGAAGTTAGTACATAACCCATAGCTATGAGTAGTTATCATTACCAAAATTACTTTGTTCAT